AAAAGTGGTCCGCTTCATTACTGCTCAGTTTATTTGTTTTGTCAATACTGGTAAGATGACTGATCAAAAGAAATCAGTAGATATGTGATTGTAAAAATAAAAGTATAAAATGAGTTGTTAGGTGGTGAGTACACAGTGACAGAAAGGTCTATTTTAAAAGCTGTAATCCTTCAGGTTTCATGTCCTGGTTGATTTGGTGACACCTGTGGTTTCTGGTGGTAACAGCAAGTGAGCTTTAACAACAGCAAAGACTCTCTGAGCAGCTACTCAGAACTACAACAGAAGAGCAGCTGCAGCAAAAATAGACCGGGAGCACAGAAATAGCCGAGCAGAGGAAAAGAGGCTCTGCTCATGCATCCAGTGGACATCGACGCACTGCTGAAAACAATCTGCTGCCATCCTAGTCTTAAAGGAAACAAATGTTCAGCCACCTCTGATGGATACTGGGGGGCTCCTGATTATTATAGACGTCTTCAGAAAGATGTGTCAGTGTCAATGTCTCATTTTTAAAAGCTGCAATGGATGAAATTGTTCAAGAAACATTAAAAAGGTGTTTTTTTACTCGTACCAATGAATGTTTGCACTCACTAGTTAAACCACACTGTGTGTCCTTGAAGTCGAGCAAACATGTTGAATTCATTTTAGAAAGTGCGTTGTTTACATCCATATTCAGTCTTCATTCCCTTTGTATGAGCAGTGCTGTGTTTCTTATTGCATTACTGTCATTAACTGTAACCCCCAGATTCCATCGGGCAGGGCCGCGGTGCATTCAGGCTCGGCTGCGGTCGCTGGTGCTGATCGCGCCCGTTCTAAACGATGCTTGAAATTCCACCGCCGCAGCGGTCCCAGAAGCTGATGACCACTTGCCAGGCAATAGAAGATCCAATCGCGCTCAGTTATCTCAGAGGAGGTTATAGCTGAGAAACACCTTGTTGTTGTATGCCTTTTCAAGGACAAAACACACAAGTAAACGACATCGGGCAGAGGACGCCATGAAGGCGTGCCCGCTGGAATTTCGGCGTCAGCAGAACAGTGTGAAACTAAGAGCAGAATAGAAATCGTGCCGCCGACATCATCCTGTGCATGCAAGATAAGAGAACCAATCAGAAAGACTGGACTCAATAGTGCTTCTGGGGGGAGAAACAGGCACAGGGTTCCTTTAAATGGACATTAACGGTTCTTCTGTGATGGCTGAGAGGGCGACTCCACGGGAAGCAGCTGCAAACTGCTGGGCCTTAAAGACAAGGAGGGTGGGGGAGTCGGGGCGCGGTATCATCGGGGACTCCCATAAATATTCTATCAGTTGACAGGTGAAATACAGCACAGTCAGCCGGACTGAACCCCGCCAGGTCGTTAACCCAGACACCTCTCCAAATACACCGGTGGGGTTTTGGTGAGAGCCGAGACACCCGAGAGCCGCTGGTGTGACTTCCAAAGTCAACTGCAGTAAGCAGAGACACCGCGCGGCCTCGGGCACACAGCAGGACCAGGTCTTGTTCACGGATTAGAAAACCAAAGATAAAAGCTGTTCCTGGGAGTCAACAAGCAGCGTTACCGGCTGGTTTTTGAGTTTGAAGGGATGAAAAGACCGAGCCCCCCCTCACCCCTCCTCACCCTTTTTAACAGCTCGTTAGCCCCCCCACCCAAAACCTCCCACCTCAGAAAACGTATCCCAAAGCAGC